CAGAAACTGGAAACAACCTAAGATGTGCCACACCAGAAGAATAGATAAAAAAAAATGAGGTACATTTATACAATGAAGTATTACTCAGCTGTAAAAACAATGACATCAGGAAATTTGTAGGCAAATGAATGGAACTAGAAAAAAATCATCCTGAGTGAGGTAACCCAGACCCATAAAGACAAACATGGTATGTACTCACTCATCAGTAGATATTAACTATAAAGTAAAGGATAACCATACTACAATCCACAAACCCAGAGAGGCTAGATAATAAGGAGGGCCCAAGGTGGGGATGCATGAATCTCCCAGGGAAGGAGAATAGAATAGATTTTATAGGTGGACTGGGGGAGGGGGATGATATTTCGAGGATCAGGTGGGGAGAGGGAGGGAAGATAAGGATGAAGGAGGGAATTCGGGGAGAGACAGCTGGAACTGAGGGGCATTTGAGAGATGATATGCAAACCAAGTGCAATGAAAACTTCCTATATCATATGAAAGTGATCCTAATGAGGTCTCCTTATAACAGGGGAGACAGAGTTCCAACTGACCATCTCCTGACACCTAACATGGCTTCCAGTACTAGGACTGGGTTGCAATTGATTGAGTCGTTGGCCAAGGGAGTCCCATGGATATTCCCAAACAATCCAGGCTGTTACTGAGATAATCAGTTGCTCTTCACAAACTGACAGAGGGAACCCATTGCTCAGGACAATACCCACACAACTCATTCAATGGAGAAGCCAAGATGGTACCTACATGGAACCTTCACCCCTATGTTCTAGTGTCTTTGGTGTGGGAATGTACTCTGCAGGCTACCAAAAGAGAAATATAAACACCAACCCAGACACAAAAACCTTTCTTCTACAATCTGTCCTGCCTGAGAGACATGCTAGGGCAATGGTGGCACAAAACTTTCGGGAGTATCCAACCACTGTCTGATTTGACTTAAAGCCCACTCCACAAGATGGAACCTGTTCCTAGCACTGCTTGGGTGACCAAGAACCAGAGACTAGATAGCACAGAGACCTAAGGTAGAACCCAATGCTACTTGTCAAAAAAAAAGTATCAATAAAATGACTTGTGCTATATTCATAGACAAGTGCCTCATTCAGTCACCAGCAGAGAAGCTTCCTCCTACAGCAGATGGGAACAGATGCAGAGATGCACAGACAGACAGTATGCAGAGAAAGAGTCCTTGGAACACACAGCTCTAAATGGGATGTTTTGATCAAATCCCTTTCCACAGAGCTCAGGAAACCCAGCGAAAGAGGAGGCAGAAAAGGTGTAAGAGCCAGAGGGAGTAGAGGACTCCAGGAGAACAAGGTCCTCTGACTCATCTCAGCAAGGCTCCTATGAACACACAGACACTGAAGCAGCCAGCATCGGGGCTGCATGGGTCTGCACCAGGTCCTCTGAGTCTATGTTCTAACTTTCAGCTGAGTATTTTCATGGCCCTCCTGAGTGTGTGAATGAGCAGGTCTCTGACTCCTGTGCCTGCTCTTGCTTCTCTTCTCCTCTTGCTGGTGCCCAGTCCAGCCTTGACATGATGGGTTTTGTTTTATACTACTCTATTTTATTTTGTCCAAAAAGGAAACACAAAAAGACCATATTATATTTGAATTCATCCTTAAATACATAAGATTAAGGTAATATTAAGATAGGATTAAAGTGACTCAAGTAATAAATATGAAGCATGCTTTCCTCCCTAAAGATTAATTAAATTTATTGTATACAATTTTGAGGGGAAAGAATAGATAATCTAATCTAATCCAATCCCTTCCACAAAGGAAATTGTGAACCCCTTATGTGCCCCTTCTCCATGAGAATAAAATCACTTTTAACTTATTTTACTGTAATTGGAGCTGACATATCCCCAAAGGTCCATGTATTAAAAGTTTGATTGCTATTTTGGAACATTGGGAGGTGACATAACTTTTATGAGGTGAGAACTAATGGAGGGGAGGTCTTTGAGTCATTAGGGGTGTATCTCAGAAGAGGTGGATGGGCCCAAATCTGCTTTACCACTGTCCCAAACCAATGAATTGGACCGATCATGGAGTGAAGGCTTCAAATCTGTGAGTCAAAATAAACTATGAGTGTCACAACAATAGGAATTTAACACAGAAACTTACTCAAGAAACTGGGGCAGGACGGCAGGAGGAGGGAGGCTTCAAGAATTGAAAAACAAACAAACAAACAAACAAACAAATGCTTTTACCTCTTGACTTGTTATGTCCCTTTCACACAAAACACTCTTCTGAGGATGGAGACCTTTAACACAAGGCAGGATGAAGTAGGTCTGGAGGCTGAAACTGAGCTGAATACCAGAGTCTTTGGGAAAGTTTCTAAGTGTCCAGAGTGGAGTCCTTTTGTTTCCTTGGATAGTTGGTTTTATTTGTTTGTTTGTTTGTTTGTTTGTTTGTTTGGTTGGTTGATTGGTTGGTTGGTTTTGTTTCATTCTGTTTTGTTTTTAGAGGCAGGATTTCTCTTTGTAGACCTG